GTATAACTGTGGAAAAGCACAGCTATATTGAGAATGTAAACAGAAATAAAAATGACAGGATTCAATGCTCATCTTTCATTAATAACTTTAAATATTAATGGAATGAGCTCCCCAGTAAAAAAACACAGACTATCCAGATTACTATACCCAGCCAAAATGTCTATTATAGTTAAAAGGGAAAGAAAAAACTTCCATGATATAAATAGGCTAAAGGAATTCATATCCACAAAACCAGACCTTCAGAGAGTTCTGGAAAAAGAGCTGAAGGAATAAGTATACCCTAGGGTCAAAGAAAGAAAGTAAATAAAGGTATAATTGTGGGAAGAAAAAATAGACAAAAATGCAAACAGTAATCAAAATGATGGCAACCAATACATATCTTCCAATTATATCTTTGAATATCAATGGACTTAACTTCCCAGTCAAAAGACGCAGGCTAGTTGAATGGATTAAGAGACAAAACCCATCTTTTTGTTGTCTGCAAGAAACTCATGACACTTTCAAGGAAAGACACTATCTCAAAGTGAAAGGATGGAAAAAAATATACCAAGCAAATGGCACTAGCACAAAGGCAGGTGTAGAAATTCTAATATCTGACAAAATAGACTTTAAACAAAAACTAATCAGAAGAGATAAAGAGGGCCACTTCATTTTGATCAAAGGAACAATGAATCAAGAAGATATTACAATCATAAACATATATTCACCAAACTCCGGTACACCAAACTTCATAAAAACAATACTGCAGTATTTTAAGACCCAGATTAATCCCAACTCATTAATAGTAGGGGAGTTCAATACCCCACTGTCTCCATTATATACATCAACAGGGTAGAGAGTTAACAGAGAGACATCTGAATTAAACAATACAAATGGAATTAACAGATGTCTAGCGAGTATTCCACCCAAGCACCAAAGGACAGCACCCCATGGAACCTTCTCTAAAATTGAGCATATACTGAAGCACAAAACAAACCTCAACAAACACAAAAAGATTGAAATAATTCCATGCATTCTATCAGACCACAATGCAATAAAGCTTACAATCAACACCAGAAGA